GAGGGCGACGAATTATTCCACAGCGGTACGTACAAATCCATTCAGGTTTACTGGCAGAAATCTTAATGGGTTGTTAATGTTTATAATTACATTACGTTCTAGGGCGATTTGGACTCAGATAGTTCTTTAAACTCCTGATTTCATATAATTCTACTCGTCTTAGGTTCGTAGTCTGAGATACTATTGTTTTGATTAAATCTGTTCCAACAATAAGCTGGCAAAACTACTATTGTTTGATTAAATCTGTTCCAACAATAAGCTGGCAAAACTACTAAGGAAACTAAGAGAAGGTACCACTGTCGTTTCCATCAACTGTTTGTGTGTTTGTCATGTTCTCCTGAAGAATTCTGTTCTCTTTTTATTCGTGTGTCCCTAGCCAAGTATGAATTTATAGTTACTGCAAACCTTATAAACTTTCCAAATAATACTAGGGTTCGGACCTGTTCAAGCACAGCTGCTATACTGATTAAGATACGTAACTTTTATAGGACAAATGATATGGTCCCAATTCGTGGTTGTGGGTATGTCTTAATTCATGCTGTGCACCGCCTTTAGTCGGAGAGAGGTGTTATCATAAAGTCCTTCTTCATATAACATAACAGGGCCAACTTCATCATGTTTTGTACAAAATATGGGAAACTTAGTCGAGAATTTCACCGATCTACAAAATCTGGCTTTTCACTCGAGACAAGATCGGTCTGTCCTGATAAGATTATAAGCACTATCAAGTTATTTACAATTGCCTAGCCTCATGTATTCTAAACTCGTCTCCATTCCTAGCACAGCAAAACTAACTGCAGACATTTAAAATGTTTGAAATACAGTTTTACTAACAGATATGGTTCTCGAATATGCCCAAAACTCCATTACAAAGGCAGGTAAGAGTAACCCCATTCTCCCTCATTCGGAAGCCACAAGAGCTGGTTCTCATAATACGAGGTTTCAGAAAATCTCCGTGAGGCTATATTTGGATCGCCGTGACGTCTAATTACCTCTTTACCGAAAGTCATCTTAGATAGAGACGATAATTAATTGTCGTATATTTAAATTGTCATTTTGACAAAGTCCTTTCACAATAAGGCCCCATGCACACCGAAGTACAATGTCACTGTTCGGAATAACGTGTTGTGTCAGATCTCAGTCCAAAGTGGCTACGTTACTCGGCCTTGTGCACTGAGGGATTTCAGTATTGCGCTTCAGCCGGTTGTGAGTGAATTTTGAGTTCCACAGCTTTGTGCACTTTAGTGAAAGCCTGAAGGTAAAGTTTTTACTTTTAAGTTTTGTAAACTTCAAAAGACACAACTCTGCATACCAGGTATGTGTTAGTAGCTCTGACGTGTGTTAGTAGCCGCCGGTGTGTTTCATCGAGAATTGCAAAAAGGTTCGATTCAACTTGATTTCCAACTTCTGTGAGTACTGTACGAACTGAGAAGCGTTCTCTTTAGGCACCGAGAGCTGTTATGTTTAAATTGGCTAAGCGCTGAAGCAGCTGGAAGCAATTTCGTAAGCTTTAAGTGTGACTGCCTTTCCAAACCTACTACTGTTAAACCAATCTCAAATACCCCAATGCTCCTTCGATGCAAGGGCAATGAGGACTGCAAACGAAAGTACAAAGCATTTTGATAACACCAAATGAAAAGACAATTTTTAAAGAAACGACATTCACCTTTCAATCCTTCAATTAGTCTGAACACAAGTGACCGATTTTAATGTATAGGGCGGCAACAGAAGTTATGCCATTTTTTGTCTCTGATTACGTGTTTATTCGTGATACATTTATCTGTGGTTGTCGTTATTTTTGTGTGTTTTTCTTACTTCCCACTGTGTTCAAAACAGTCTTTGACTTAATGTGTTTGACAGTGCATTATGAAGATTTAATTTCATGTAAGTGTAACATAATTAATTGTACTAGACATGCCAAGAATATAGTATGTGAATATTGTTTTTATGAGATGGACGGTTTTCAATAAAGTACGCGCCCTGCAAAATCAAAATGGCCAAAAGTCTCCTCCATGGTGTTTCATAAAGTGTTGGTGTCTTCTATATCATATTATTGTAGTGTTGCAGTGTGTGCTTCAGGCGTCCTACTCTTCTTTATCCGTCTTCTTTATCTCGTTCTTGTTCTTGTCGTCGTCGTGTGAGTGGGAGCATAATATCCTTTCGAACTGTTTGGAGCCCCGAAGAACGTGCTCTTTGCCAGGGCCATCACCTGTCTTGGGTAGCGGATGAGACAGTCCAACCTCCATGAATCTTCCCCCAAAGAGATGCCATCTCTGAGCCTTCGTAGCGCGCATCTCTTCTGCCAGTGCTCCAAATCTTGGAGCTCCTTGCTGCACAGTCGATTCTTTTGTCGTTGTCGTTGTTGCTGTTAATGTTATTGTTGTTGCTGCTGCTACTGTTGTTGCTGCTGCTGCTGCTGTTGTTGTTGTTGTTGTTGTTGCTGCTTATCTTCTTCTTCTTCTTCTTCTTCTTCTTCTTCTTCTTCTTCTTCTTCTTCTTC